GAATTAATTGTAATTGGTTCACATTTGAATTTCTGAAATAAATTTTATTTTAAAAAAGTTAAATCAAAAATTTTGAGCAATTTAGAAACAAATTTCTTTTATTATTTGATTTAAGTATTATAGTATTCTTCATCATAATAAAAGTTATTTCTAAATATGTATTAAAAATCTTATATACTAGAATAGTNTCAAAAAAAAAAAAAGGTCGGATTTTCACACTATTGTATATTCGAATATCAGTGGTGGAATGGAAGCGCCGTATTGCCGAATATGGGTCAGCTTCCAAGGCAAAAATATCTGAATGGTGTAAAGCAGCCAGATTATACACATTGACACATGTGCTTTACAGAGCACCAACCTCACATGGTTTAGCTGGTGGAAGCTACACACCAAAATATTGTATAACACTTCTAATGATTCTATCCAGAACCAGTTCTGGGCTGTTAGCCACCTGCCCACTAGATATTTGGCTGCCCTTGCCCCATTATGTGAATCATGAGTAGATTAATAACTAGACAGTGGATTTTAGGCAAATGCCTATTTTTTTCCTTGGCATATACATGGCTAAGATTTTGTATGAACACTTTTCATGAACATTTAGACTGAAACAATGGTATTTTATAATGCCTAAAAATGCTTATTTTGATGTTGCTGCCTATTTTTGCCTAAAACACAAAGTTTAGTCTGTTTCATATTTTTAAAAAGTTTTTATTAATTTTTCATTTCATTTTCCACAAAGGTTTACTTTAATTTTTAAATTAAACTGCTTAAGTTTCATTTTTATCCTGAAAATGCAATCAGACAGATTCATTTTTTTATTATTGATTACTTATATTTAAGTCCCGGTTGATGCATATCCCAAACAGAAAAAATTAGAATACAATAATAATGGAAATAAATTACATTCCCTGATGCAATTTTATAGTAATAAAATTAAAACCATATGAAATATTTTAAAATAAATACTTTTATTTAATAAACATAGCATTAGAGATGCTTTATTTGTCATTTTTAGACAGCAGATTTTAGGCAAATGCCTATTTTTTCCTTAGCATATACATGGCTAAGATTTTCTACTAACTACTACAGTGAACATTTCTTCGATATCAAAAAACTTCTGGTCACTTTAGCGGACAATGCAGTTTGTGTAACTAAAGCCAAGAAAATTTTGAATGACATTCATGCTCAGAACAAGTTGATGTACAGCAAGTGTTATTTCACATTCATTGCAGATACTATTACTGCTGTTGAAAGTAGTGGAAAGCCTATATATGAACAAATTGATCTCCTCAACAGAGCAAAGCAGAAACTTTGTGATGCACCAGACGCTGCTGCAAAAAAAGTGAAGAAAGAGTTGAAAGCAGTGCCTCAAAACAGACTTTGTTTAAAGTGCTTGTTTATTGTGGCTGATATTTTGGCAGGAAAGAAGAGCAGAACTGAAAGTGAATTCTCAGTTCATCTTCTTCCAAGGTTGAAATATTGTCCATTATCTTCAGTAGATGTGTTCCACATCTACTGAAGATAACGGATTATATGCTCTTTCTCTGCATATAAATTAATTCTCAGTGACAAACGTTGCAAATTTTCTATTGAAAATTTGGAAAAAGTGCTTGTAATATAATATGAAGCTAACTATGGGAAATGGAGCGAATAAAAAATGCAAAGATAATTAATTGTTTGTCTACTTTTGTGTTTGCATCATTCTGAATACGTGCATTTTTGTTTGGAATACATATGTTAAATAAAAAATTCATCATCCTGATAAGTACGTTAATTGTTCATTGTGCAAATTTTGACCGCCTATTTTTTGTTTATAAAGCCTAAACAATGCAATTTAAGAGCTTATTTTAAGCACATAAAACGCCACTTTTAAGGGCCTATATGTTCGCTGTCTAGTAATAACATGGCATTGGCTTTATTCTTATCAATATATACATATACTGTAAACTATAGATTTAATTGTCTAAGGATGTCTGCTATTGCCAAAAGTCCATTAAATCAAATGTGTTTTATTATTAATATACATTAAATTAACATATATTAATAACAGACTTAAGATGTGTTAAAATATTGTTTTGTATAAGTATGAATTAAATAATAATATAATGAACATTGAGTAATTTATATTTTTTGATTCTTTGTTCCAATCTTTTAACATGCTCTACTTATAAGCAAAATGGGATTTTAAAATTTTTTTCTATGGAAAAAATTTTGTCTGTGAGATGTCAAATCTGTTAAATTTCTACCTGTTAAATCCAGGGTTTATTGTATATGATTAGAACCAGAATTATTATAATTATTCATATAATTTTACACAAAATTGATTCAAATTATATTAATAGGAAATGTTTGTAAAAAAAATATGAAATTAGTAATAGTAATTTAAGAAATAAAATTAAATAAATGCAATATGAAAGTTAGATTAAATCAATTAGAAAAGAATAATTTAANTGGTTTTTGATTTTGGAAGCCTTACAAAAAATTATGAATGAATCCAAAACATTTGCTAAAAGGAAAAGGAATCACTACTGAGTGAATAAAAAAATAAGTTGCTTGAAATGAGCTATTCTTCAGTTTAGTTTGTTAAATTGATACTGAAACAAAATGGAAAGTTTCATTTATACAATCATTAGTGGATTGTGTGTTAATCCACTAGTAATGATTGTATTTAATGTCAATATTATATAATTCTTGATGATAATTCAAAATTTTAGTATTATTATATAAATATAATTTCACTAAAGTTTTGTATTTATTATATAATGTCACTAAGTATTTATATACATCATTCAATCATTCCTCTAGGAATACACATAAACAAATGATTGAACATTCTAATACAATGATAAAATAAATTTATCTTAATTGCATAACTAGAAAATTTTATTTTAAATTTACATTTACAATTTACAAGAATTATATTTAATATTTGTCTACATACGATTATTTTCCTAATAAGGTTTCTATTACTAATATTAAATTTCATGCTTTCATTCAAAAATGATTAAATAAATGATTATTCTTTAAATTCACTAATAATAGTTTGTATTGAAAAATAATAATAAATGATTTTAAAATATTTATTATTATTTTTCAATACAAACTATTATTAGTGAATTTAAAGAATAATCATTTATTTAATCATTTTTGAATGAAAGCATGAAATTTAATATTAGTAATAGAAACCTTATTAGGAAAATAATCGTATGTAGACAAATATTAAATATAATTCTTGTAAATTGTAAATGTAAATTTAAAATAAAATTTTCTAGTTATGCAATTAAGATAAATTTATTTTATCATTGTATTAGAATGTTCAATCATTTGTTTATGTGTATTCCTAGAGGAATGATTGAATGATGTATATAAATACTTAGTGACATTATATAATAAATACAAAACTTTAGTGAAATTATATTTATATAATAATACTAAAATTTTGAATTATCATCAAGAATTATATAATATTGACATTAAATACAATCATTACTAGTGGATTAACACACAATCCACTAATGATTGTATAAATGAAACTTTCCATTTTGTTTCAGTATCAATTTAACAAACTAAACTGAAGAATAGCTCATTTCAAGCAACTTATTTTTTTATTCACTCAGTAGTGATTCCTTTTCCTTTTAGCAAATGTTTTGGATTCATTCATAATTTTTTGTAAGGCTTCCCAAATCAAAAACCAAAATTTGATACATGTGTTGTAATTATTTAATTATATTAGTATATCATCATACATGAATGTTTGAGACCACATATCCACTGTTAGCAAGCTACTTTGTTGCCTATAAGCTCCATCTGCATTGTGATTTCCTTTCATTGCATACTTCCATGCAATAGAGATGATGACAGCATGTTTTCTATTGATACATTTCCCCTTAAAGATGTCAAACTAGCAAGCTAACAGTGGAGTACATATCTATTTGCTCAGGCATGAACATCTTTCATTATGTATATTTTAATAACATATATTTTACTGGAATTGTGTATATTTCAGTTGTAATTTAGTTCATTATTGTTCATATTGCATTGAATTTTATGTTTAAGTTTGGAAAGCCTGACAAAGGGTTATAAGTGAACCTGAAAATGTTTGTTAAAAGAGAAAGGATTTAGTTCTGGAATGAATGAAAGGTTAATTGCTTGAAATGACTTTTAACATTTTGATTTAAAGGAGCTATATTAGAAATATACTTAAAAGACAATTATCTTGATTATTTATTCATCATCTTTGTTGTAGACATATTTAAAATCCAATTAGCTTAACTAAATTTCAAAGTTTACATCTTCCTCTTTGAAGTATATTAGATTATTAAATATTATTATTCTAACTTTAAATTGTAGTTGCTAAGTTACAATTAAAAACTTTAATTCTATCTGAAGAATTAGAATTCTCCACGTAAGAAATTTGCTAAATTTCTCATCTGAGGAAGTTTATATTGATGTTTCATGTATCTAATGTTTTTTGAGGCATTCAGTAAAATATNCTACCGAATTGATACGGAAGCAGGCGAATAGCAAAGGTACTTTTTCTATTTTTTATTTTAATTTATTTTTTTTTATTCTTTCCCGCCCTGTGGGCACTAAGAGGGCCTCTTTTTGCAAGCCCATTATGGGTTCGGCCAGATCCACAATGGGGCTGTCGGGTGGTGAGGGGCGGGGCCCGACTTATCTGAACGGACCACCCCCGAAATATTCCTGGGGATTTTTCGACGTGTTCGGATTCGAACCCGGGTTCCCTAGAGCGGTAGGTTGCCATCCGGCCGCGCTAGCGACGGTACTGTACACGAATATACAGATTCTGTGGGCTGTTTTTGTATTAGTGTGAGTAGCGGGGGAAAAAGAATCGAGAGCATTGTATGTGGCATCTCTGTAGTTGACCCCAGGATTGCCTTCTGTTGTCTTCTGTTCTGTTGCGCATGACTCATTTGTAAATTGGTATGTGTATGTTGTATGGTATTTGTAAATTGGTATGTGTAAATTGGTATATTGGTATGGTATTTGTAAATTGGTATATTGGTATGGTATTTGTAAATTGGTATGTGTAAAAACAAAAATTTCAAAAATGATTTTTGTTTTTGAACAGAGCACATTACATCAACTTTAGGAAGGAATCGAAACATTAAACAAAGTGAAGATAATGGAAAATCTTCATTGAATCACTATCACAGAATAATGAAGTATACAGCTGATGATCCATCAGAGAGTTCAGATTTAGTAACTCTTTTATTAGAAAGAGCAAAAAGTTTAAGAGAAGCAATGATAGTGTCATTACTACAAAGTAGAAGTTTGTATGTAAGATTTAGACATTTATGTTGATTATACGATCAAAATAAATTTACATATAAATTTATGTTATTTACATATTAAATAATTTAACAATTTATTTTTTCATATGATTTAATATAGTTTTCTTGAGAATGTTACTAATACAGAATATACAAAATGAAAAAAAAGATGATTTTATTTTTATCTGTATTTTTTATACAAAGTAATGATGACAATAGTTTATTTTATTGCTTACTTAAATTAATTGTTAATTATACTAAAGTAGAAAGGAACATTTATAATGTTTTAAACTACATGTCTATTATAAAATTTTCTATAAGTTTTACTCATTGGACTTTAATAAAACACATCAGTTTTCTTCATTCAGTTATCACAGAATTGATAATATACAATGATATATTAATTTGTTTCTATTTACCCATTTTTACTTATCTGAAATAGACCATCCTCTCTTACATCTTACTAATTGGTGGCATTTTACATTCACAGTTTAAAATAATCAGGAATCATTGTCAGTAGATCATTTTATATGTTATATATCAATAATATACATTTTCAGTTCTACTACTCAAAGGTCACATCAGTTTTAATCAGCTTTGCTGATTATGAGCATTTAAGATTTTTGAGATGGCATTATAATACAGCATTAATAGAAGAGTTACTGTATATGCAGATCATGGAAATAGAACTGCTAAAAATTACTTATTTGATTACATTTTCTTGTTTTTCTAATTAGTTAATGGACTTTATTAAGTTTAAAACATAATAAAGTTAATTATTTAAAAAATTTTTCTTTATTGCCAATCAGAAACCATGTCATTATAAGTTTTTGTTGTTTAAGCACTATAAAGTGCAATTAATCAAACACTAGGCATCCTTTCATCCTTTATTTGTTTATTTAGTTGATATCAAGTAAATAAATAAATAAATAAATAAAAATTTTTCTTTATTAAAAATATACTAAAATTTGTTTTCAAACTCAAGGTGAGTCTTAAATTTGTTGGTATTCTAGAATCAAGGAAATAGAGTATATTATGTGTTATATTACTATTGTAAAATATGATCTACATAATTTTGTTTTCAATTCAATATTATGATTTTATATGCTATCATTACTTTTGTTATATATATATATGTATATATGAGCTAATATAACTTATATAGTTTATTAAAAGTTTTTAATACATGCAGTTTTCTAAATTGAATTTTTATGTCTTAGATTATAATATATTTGTTTTTCATTTTCTAATGATCTTTGTAAATTTAATATATATTGAAATTTTTCAGAGAAAAGTTCTTGCAGAATGAAAATACAAAACATATTAATGAAAATAATCAAGAAGATTTGATTGAAAATATTTTAGGTAATATATTTCAAATTATAAATTTCTATCAGTTTTATATATTTAAATTTTAAATTGCACTTCCTACATATGAATGATAAGAATTATTTTCCTTTATAAAATGATTACTGTTTGAAGAATGTGTAATGATAATTTATTATAATTGAAGATTTATGTTATGAGAACAACAAGATTTTGAAGGCTATTCTTAAATATACAGAATTGTTATATATTCAGTAACTAACAATATTTACTATTCATACTATTCTACTTTTTATGTAGAATTATTGACAATATAGATGAAGAATGAAATAAAGATTTTTCTGTATTATGTAATGTTTTTATACGATATTACATATGTGGGTCATTCAAAAAGTTTTGGGAATGAAATAGGAAAATAGTTTATATATTTTGAAATTATTTTTGTTTTTCAATATAGTGTCTCATATTATCAATATGTTTTGTTCAGTGATGATCCAAAGTCATTATACTATTCCTGGTGATTCTGGGAGTTCTGTAAAATAATTGTTTATTGCTCCTATAACCCCATTAAAGAAAATTTCCTTCCAACAATGAATTTTTTCAGGTTTGGAAGTAGATAAAAATTAGATGAAGTTAAATCAGGTAAATAAGTGTGCATGTTACAGCAAATTATACTTTAATTTGTTGATTTTTTCAATCATAAGAACACTTCTGTGAACAGGGGCATTGTCTTTGTGAAAGACAACTTTTCCTGTGAAAATTGTGGTCTTTTCTTGAATATTTTAGTCTAATTGGTCCAAAAGGTTAGTTTAGAATTCTTCAATTATTGTTTTACTCTTTTATATATTAGAATAATAACTTTAGCATCCCATAGAATTGATGCCAGGACTTTCCCTGCAGATGGAACACTTTTGCTTTTTTGGTGTCAAGCATCCAGGTTCTGTCTATTGTTTTGACTGCTCCTTTGTTTCTGATGTATAGTGGTAGACCAAAGTTTTATCTGTGGTAAGAAATCTGCACATAAAATTGGTTGTATTTTTCTTGATATGGTCAAGACACTCTTGAGAAATTTGAGCATAAATGTATTTTTGTTCAATTCTTAACAAATGCAGTATCTAACTTGCATCCAGTTTTCTCATCTGTAATTCTTCAGTCAAACTATGAAATGCCAATTCATCTGAAATGCTTACAGCTTTAGCAATTTAGGATACCTTTAATTGTCAATCTTGCAAAATTATATCATGAACTTTTTAATGATTTCTGGTGTTGATGCACTTTGGTTTTAGATATCCACTGGGAGGATCATCTTTTAGGCTTTCTCAACTATGTTTAAATTTAGTAGTCCATTTGGAAACTGTTGAAAACAAAGGAGCAGAATCCCCCTAAAGTATTTTTCATATCTGTGTGAGTTTTTGTTGCAAATAAACTTTATTAACAAAATATTTAATAATTGCATAAAGTTAGATTTTTTTTCCATTCTGCAAATAATGCAAAACACATCTTTTTTAAACAGATGTCAACAATAAAGTAATTGAGAGAATGATTTCAAATTTCACACATGCTCATACCACAGATTTAAGATTCTACTACACTAAAACTTTCAATTATACTACAAACATATGTACACCATTCTTAGAACTTTTTGAATGACCCTTGTATAAATTTAAATTAATTCAATTTTATTTTAATTATCCTCAATCTCTACAAACTTCATAATTTCATTTACTGTATTTATTTGATATTCTAACCCTTATTATAATCTTATAAATTGTAAAATTTTTCTGTCTTAAAAAAGTTTATATACAGTAAGCTATTCTTTAATATAAATTTTCATTTTTCGGTTCAATAGTTATTACACAGTATGTACACTTTGTTAAGTTCATTTTTCTGAGAGTGACATAGTATAAAAATATACTACAGGTATACCTCGACTTATGTCGTTTTAAGTTACGTTGTTCTTGATTATATGTCGTTTGTCAATAAATATATGGAAAAATAAAAATCAAATTTAAGTCATTTTATTCGACTTTACGTCTGTCCGCCACAAATATTGAAGTTGTAATATCACTATAAAAGCATTAAAGCACATAAAATCATATTAAAATATATACATTTACAGTAAATGTTAATATAATTATCATAAATCCTAGAGAATGAAACATTAAAACATCTGTGTTTCTGTGTTGTCGTCTTATTTAGCAGTCTTTAAGTGCTCAATATTAGTGTTTTCCACGGTAGTTCCAACATCTACCATTTGGCGTCGTTGTCAGCGCCACTCGATATTGGTAAATTTAATATAAATTAGTTTATTTTCTACTGTCACAAAATAATTTTAATAACTGTATTTGTTATTTAACCTTACAAAATCTTCTTATTTTATAATGTCTTAGAGCAAACCACATTCACAAATAAAGAGTC